AAGGCGGTAGAAGGAAAAAGAGTTGCAAAACGAAATACTCCTTATCAATTAAGATGCGACTCACGCTATATGCTTTACTGCTGTGAAGGGTCTATTACTTATAGTGAAGTCGAATGTACACGACTGCAAAAAGGCTGAGTAAATTGACTTCATTACACTACATCTGATCTAGTATTAGTTGCTTATATTCCCTCAGTTTTGCCGGACTGCTTATCAATAATTTTTTTTTGTAATGCATGTTCTACTTACATTGTTTGCTTAGTGGAACAATTTTAAAAGAATTTTTGTTTCCACTGGATTTTCCAACTCACCGCTTCTGATAAAAACTTGATAGTTTTGTTCCTTAATTTCGCTGAAGCTTCTGGGCTTGTATAATTCCAAAACTTCCTAAATGAATCAAAGTTAAGATCGAAAGTCGTCGTTCTATCACCATTTGTATTTTCGAACGATTAATGTCAAAAGTCCACTTCAGGTGATGAATGGATCTGTTGAAATTAATGGAGATGTATCGCAAGAGAAGCCTTGTTTTTCTCTTTGTTTTTCTGTTAATCGCGGATACGCTAGATCTATTCTAGCATAAATTGTAGTTCTCTTATTTTATTTGGGTACTAATTTGCAACAATAACGGACTCTCCCACATGTACGTTAAAATTTTTTGATGTTCACCACTGGTAATTGAAAGAGAATGGTTGAGAGAACGACTGTAATATCCAATTCACAAATCTTTAAGTTTATATGGTTCTGCTTCATTACGTAAGCGAAAAGTAATTGCAAGAGAAATTAAATATTACGCAATGCAAAGATGAAAAGGTGAATACAGCCCATGATTCTTAACAATCATTTTCAGGAAAATTACCCCTTTCTCATGAGTAAACAGTTAATCATTTCAGTTTATGCATGATATGACGACTTATCTCCACCAACGTCACGTCTTATTTACTGTAGAAATTTGTCATAGGTCCGTCTCACCGTTGATATTCTTGTTTACTTGTCGATCAGACAGTCAGCCTTCACTAGCTCTCTTTTTCAAATTTGTATACTTATTCGTCCCTCTCTTTTTACTAATTTGTAGGTAAAAACACTTTAATATGTAAGAAATGGTGATTGTAAAATCATGGAGTTATAGTTTGCGTGCTACTCCGGTTCAGGAATTGGAAAAAACAAAAGATTCGAGTTGAGTTTCCGGGAGTAGAACTTAAGTTTCATTTTTGTAACAATGTAAACTATGTTAGTGCCTTCTCAGAAATATGTGTAATATAATTTTATTAGTTAGTGCATGTTCTTAGTACGAATACACTACGACACTATATATTTGCAGTTTATTCGAAAATAAGTAGCGTGGCAAATATGTAATATGGCGCTGGATGAGTTATTTGGTTAGTTGAAAGTGAATTAAGTATTAGCCTGAATATGCAGGGAATGTGACAAATGCAAGAGAAACTATCGTTCAGTTGTACGGGCAATGGGACTGAGGAAAGAAAGAGGGGGAAGAGACTCATTACGTCCACTTCGAACTCCTCATCCTTGCAAACACTACTCTCGAGAGAAGATAAGATACAAGATGAGATATGCCTTTCTTTGTTGCATTTTAATTACGAAATTCTTCCAACTATCTGCAGTCTCCGAGAGACATGCGTACACTTTCTCTTCACCTACTGGAACAAGCTGTCAGGTGAAGCGAGATAAGCAAAGCAATGTTGCAATCGTCTCATCTACTGATCACTCGTCTTTTGCAATGATGCTATTCTTTAATCAACGATCACAATAGAAAATAATAGCAGGAAAGAGTAGAGAGAGGAAGGGTGTGTTGACACCTGGCAATGCCGAAGGTTTGTACTTGCTCTCTGTTGTTATAGAACTCATTGATGGGCTGAGGATGGATACAGACAGGCATTACAGCTTGCCAATTTTTCTCATTTTCAGATAGGAGGGGGCAAAGATGCAGAGAAAAAATTCAGCCAAGTGAGGTGGTGGATGCAAGAAGCATGCAATAACGCTATAATAACGACAGCAGTGTAGGCCCGCACGCACGTGCGCACGCATCAACTATTTAACCATTGGAATGACTGCAAAAAGGGGACTGGATTTAGTGGCACTAGAGACCATAATGAGGCTGTGAAAGAGAAGAGAGTGTACAGGGGAAAAGAGACGCAGAGAGAAATGAAGAAAAAAGAAAGGAGGTAATGACAATTTGTTGAAGCTGAAAGCATACTTGTACGTATTGCAACTGGCAGATGACAACTAGTCAGGCAGCAATTGCAGCAGCCACTATATGAGACAGAATGAGAGAAGCATAAGGGGAGAGTGGGGGAGTGGCAGAGAAGGGAAAGGGCAGAAAGAGGGAGGGCGAGGGTGTTGGTTGCGTGGTTGCTGGCGTTTCTTTTTCCCCTTTTCGGGCGGTTTGCTACCGACTGCAGTTCCGGAAAAAATGAGAGGGAAAGACGTAATTTGACAGACTTTTCAGATGCCGGCGTACAGTGATACCATAATTATTCAGCATTGTCATTAACTAGAAGTACTTCCACTTGTATGTGCGACATCTTCACTAATCACAGTATTAAGTGTCATTTTCGTCATGGTAGCATTCTATAAGATTTTCAATAACGGTTGTACAATAAAAAATATTGTTATTAGCGATGCTAGTCCATAAATTTGTAACTTTTTATCTAATTATGCGATCTTCTGCATTACTCGGGAAGTCTCTGAGCTCTGTATTTATTTATAATGTGTCGCCCTTTTTTAAGATTGTTCGATTCCCATAATTGTTTCTGTATATTGTCATGATTCTTTGTTGTAAAGGGTCATAATTAGCAATAATAACGATACGAAGAAAAGCAAAGGAAAGCTTATAGTTCAGAACGACTACTTGCTGTATCCATTGCAACTGAAATTTTAGCCATTGTTTACCTGGCAAATTGTATCTGCATTCTCCTTTCGAATCATTGACAATTAATCTTTTTGCGCGGAGCATTACGCATCCATCACTGATCTGCGCTCTCCTAATACGCTTTCACATCAACAAATACTTTGTGCATTATACAGGTAATATACATTGCTTTCTTGTGTTTGGTTTTAAACGGTATCGAAAATTGTTAAAGTCATTAGTTACAATTATGGCGCTAATCATAAGTATATTAGTGAAATTTCCGGTTTCATGAGAGTGCACTATTATATTGTCATTTGTTAATTTGCAAGGTTGAGAGGTTTTAGCTCTCTACTATGTGACCTTAGTTCATGTTGCCTCAAGCAGTCTACTCTTTTGATATGAATTTTTAAGTCTTAGAAATACTTTGTTATGAAGGCCTAACGGGGAGAGAATTGTCTCTGGAATTGAAGAGGGAATGCAGTTTATTTGGTTCTGTAAGATTTTCAATAACGGTTGTACAATAAAAAATATTGTTATTAGCGATGCTAGTGGATCTGCACCCATATGCTGTCGTGTTTTTATTATATGGAACGCGCAAAGTTATTTGCTACTATGTAAAATTTAACTGCTGCAGATTACATCTGTATACTAATTCTTAATTGTTTGACTCCCTAAATATCTGTTTAGAGTATATGTAACAGGTATTTTTTATTGTGATGGGGAAAGCATGTCTTTCATTTGTTTAGCTCATTCATTTTTTGTTCTCTTGGTCTTGTCAACTCGTGGTATCATGCAATGATGAAGTGCTCTCGTAGCTAGATGAGGTTCAGAAACTAGTTGGAAATTAGTACTTGCACGTGTGTGTATATGGCTGAGGCATGACACACTGCAATCAGCTTACAGTGCTATAGGTCGTGCATGTTCGGATGGATAGATAATTATGGTAAGTTTATGTGTATGAAGAGATTGTAAGATGAGCTACCGCTTCCCTCTCACTCGACTATACTGATCAGAAATCGCATTTGGCTGGGCTGACAAGTGGGAAGAAAAGCTTTTATTGCAGGCGGCGAGAAGGAACTTGAAGGACACTTAGTCAGTCATACGTGAGTTAGTTTCTGTCCCTTTGCAAAAGCGAGAGAGAATGGAATGTATTTTGTTTAAATGAGGCGCAGTGTGTGGCATGTTTCTGTGGTAAGTACTGCTGGAACATTGAGTAGTTGCAGTGGTAGTTAGTGATAGTATTTGTTTGGTTCCGTGAGTATCGATAATTTTGCTCACACTGTCTGTCGTGGGACTCAGCTGCCGATCCACTCTTGATGGTTTGTGCTGCAAGCCTTTGTGTCCCACAGCTCACAGAATAATTCCTGAGAAAGAAAGCTCATTTGTTCGCAGACTAAATGAGAAACTATGGAGGAAACAAAGAAAGCAAACTTTGCAGTGACGCTATTTTATAATGTCATGTATGTGTGCATATGAAGTTGAGAGAGTCAGTATTCATATTTGAAATGACTTTTCATGGCTAGCGGAAACTGCAATGATTTTCCTCATTTTTCAATTTCTAGTGATATTAGTGAAAGTCAAACATGCTTTGTTGATGTCAAGAGTGTAGCAGAATTCTTATTAATACATTGCTGACTAATAACACTGGTGTTTTATCTTATCAATCTGATATTAATGTCAAATAATGTTACTCATGCTCTACAAAGGAAGATTCTTAATCTTGATTGCTATAAGATTTTGCAGCTGTGTATGAGATACTGGTTCTCCTGTTGAACGTATTTTTGGGAAATTAATTGTGAATCTCTATATTTTGATGATTCAGAAGGACTGCTGGGAGAGTGTATGGGTACTAAATTAATTTGTGCTTGTTTGTTCTAGTCTACTCGTCATTGATATTAACCCGAGCGTTTCACAAAAGTTCTGGCACTTTTATTACTTTGGAAGCGTACATGAAATCATATTTACTTGGATAAGGTAATTTCGTCAAATTCTTGATAAAGTACTTAGAAATAATCAAATGATGCTTAGGTTGCACCAAATTGATCATCCAGAGTTTGTAGCTGTACTAGTTGCGGGATGTTAACATTTCAGACGTGTAATATAGAATTTTTTAATTGAAATGTTGAAATTCAGGATGGATTTAACTACATTGGCTGGAACATTTGTAAGTTATGCTATTTTTATTTCTTGCTCTCAACAAAATCTTCGAAATCTGTATACATTGGAACACATCTATATGTTCCGCACATCCTTAAACACAAATTTGTCATTGGTACTGTTACGTTAGTCTTCGATTGATTTTACTGTAAATCACCTTGCGCATGTCAGCTTACATGTAGTTGAAACTACTGAGGTCGTAACAGCAGTATAATTGTCTTTCATGCAGGAATAGTCTGTTCTAGACAATATGGTTCTAGGGAGTAGCCCAAATGAAATAGTCGTTTCAGTCATTTCTTGGTGCGATAGGTAAAACATGCGTACATATATAAAACAGCACTCGATGTATATGAGAAGCGAGTTCAAAATATTAGGTTAAAATAGTCACAACCTGTCATTATTCAGCAACTGTTCCCATCTAAGTCGGTTGTAGTTGTATTGCTGTCATGCTGTTTATCATACGCTGTTGCAGTTTGGTTTGTTATGTCGTATTTACACATACATGTATGGTCCGTCTGCAAGCAAACATTACTTTGCACTGAACCGAATTAAGCATTAATATTTAATATGTATGGGCGGAAACAAGTAAAATTTTAAAAAATTTCTTTTATGTGAAAAAGTATAGTGGACAAACAAATGTAGTTTTTATTGTTTCTTCAAGATGCATTGGATTGATGTACCATTGCTATCATGTTGCGTTCAGTTGTTGTTCATCGAACTTGTCATACCTTTTATACTTTGTCTAGTAATCGTTTCATCTTTTCGACTTTTTTTTTTCACATCTCACTTCATCATTATGTGTCCATTGACATGAGATTCACTATCATGGCGGATGTTACAATACAGCATAGCATGTTTCTTCAATTCTCCAATCTTTCTTCATCGTTATTTTCATATTAATAGCATCCAGTATGTCTAGGCAAAGATGAATTTGCTTGTCTAACGCTATCTTGATTTCCCATATAAGGTGGACTGCTCTATTTTTTTTAATCTAATGCTTCAAAGACAAGGTTCAAAACTGTGAGCTTTTATTGTAACTAAACTTTTTTTTGAGGGAGATAGAGAGGAGAAAATAAATAATTTACAGCTCGAACAGGCTGGCTCGTCAAGTTGGCGAATGAAAGAAGAGCAGCCGCTTGAGTTTGCGGGACCAGCAACTGCTTCGGTAACTTTACCAAATAGTAATCGAGCAACGCAATCTACAATTGCAAGCACTCACCTTCCAACGACCATTTGCCAAGGATGTTTAGAGATCAAGAAGTAAAGTTTTAGATCATCAATTTTTTGTGACGGATTTGTCAATTTCTAAGTCATACAGTTTTGCTGAAATTATCTTATACTATTTCCACTGTATTTTATAATCTTGTAATGTAATTCAGTTTGAAGTATTCAATACTGTAGTGATGTGCTTTTAAATTTTAGATTTTTGTAGGAAATTAAATTTATGCTGTGAATAATCTGTATAGGAAAGCAGTTAGTTGAGAGAATGTAACCTTTTCTAACAGGAGATGCTTTTTTCTTTTCATTATCTGAAAATGAATAATGACTTCGTCGTAAGTGGCTCGTGCAAATTAATTTCACTTTGATTTCTATAGAATATTTTCAAGTAATGATGGGGCTCTTTCTTTCTGTTTATCTATTCTAATGTCCATCGTTTCACTCAAATGTAAACGATTTAAATGCTCCCTCTTATATCCTCAAATTCAAGATATCGTTATATTTTATTTTAGAATTAATATCATGAAGTGACACAAAAGTTTTCAGCGAAACGTGAAGTCAGGCCAGCAGTTGTCTTTTATCTCTAAGCAGTATTTATAATGCTACCGAAATGGAATTTTAAAACTAATACCTTGAAGTGCGAAATGAAAAATTCAGAAATCAAGTGATTTTCAGGTTTTGTGCTGTGGGATTGGTTAAAGTTCTGCAATGAATGTTCTTGATTTTAGTGAGTGAAATTATTTCATCTTCAGGGAAGTGCAAGAAATGAAGCAACATTTCGAAAAGAATATGCAGGCACTTATTAATCAAGTTTGTGCTGCAACAGGTAGTGAACCGGGAAATACTTTTCCGAGCTCATCTTCTCAAAGGAAAATTGCAGTTGCTCCTGAATGCCCTGTTGCTCTGAGGCCCATGCCTACATGTTAGTTAAATTTAAATTTTTGAACATTAGAACGATGATTGAATTACCCACATGGTTGTTGTAGACTTAGTCCATGATTTATTCCCGTCGTATATCTTACTCATTTCTCTAATGTAAACTCCCATGCACATTTTTGTTTGCAAACGCATCATAACTTGTTCTAGTGCCAGCCCCTTTACTACAGTGGAACCCATGGTTATTTCCATCTTTATTGCAACAAGCAAATCCCATTTTGGCACCTACGCTACAAGAGCAACTGCAGTTGAGCTCTCTTAAAAGATGGAATTCATCAAGTCTTGAGCAAAAATCAGATTCGAATGGTAAGCACTAAAGTAAATTTTGCTTCATAAAGTTAGTACAAAGTCAGGTATAAGTTAATAATTTGCGGGAAGGTTTTTGATGTTATATTTTTATGTTATTTCACTGTATGATGAGACAGAAACTGTTACAAACATGTAGTTAGTTACTAATTTAAGTCACAGTAGTGATAGACTATTTTTGCGCTTTTTCTACTCTGTTATTATCTGTTTTGAACAGCGATTCTTCTTGATTTCAAGAAACTGTAAAACTTTTTCATCTTGGAATGAAGAATCAGATGTCAGTGTTTTCCGTTTAAATATTTTACAGGAAATACTCAAATCGATCCTATCAGCGTAGGTAGCAGCATTGATGCATGTTCTACGCCTGTTTCCGCTGCAGCGAAAAGTGTTATTAACAATGCTGATGTTAGTATTAAAGTTTAAGTCTTGTTTAGTTTTGATTTTACTGTTCAAATTCTACTGAATTGTCTATTCCATGAGCGATTAAATTGGATCAGTGGCAATTTCTCTACCGTTTGCCTTGAAAGAGCTTTTAAAATTTTCCAACATGGAGACGGACTAGAAGTACCATATAAACCATCGAAAGTTTGAATAACTTCGTTTCTTTGAATTAAGAATTCGTATGAAACGCAACGCATATTTGTTAAATCAAACGCATTATGTATTTCAAATTTTATTTGATGAAATTGATCATTCTTTTTCTCTTAGATTTTGATATTTTTGCTGTGTGAGAGCAAATATTTTCACTACAGAATGTTGCACATGTGTTCGCATCGAAGTTAGATTCACTTTCATCATTAAATCCATTGCTACTGCAACAACATCTGCTGCAGCAACTAGTTGCAAGTGGTCAGAGTTATCTCGGGCAGTCACCGTCGACTCAGTTACATCACATTCAGCAACAAACGCAGCACGAGCAACAGTCCAAACAGGATCATTCCGCTCAACTTCATTTAAGTCCTGCAAATGTTGTTGATCAAGCGGTAACAAAATTTGAATTTCACTCATGATATTGATTTTGTAGATTGAATAGTATATGCCAAAATCAAGAGAACTTTAAAATGGAAATCATGAATTAGATGATTTTTTTGCTTTGTTCCAATGAAGACAACCAGGATAATGTTGCGAGATATGTCAACTGGAGTTCAATAATAGTAATTGAATAAAATGTGCAAAAGTTTGTAACAACAAATATTTCAGCTCAATTGCGGTCTTCCTACCCATTTAGAAACACTAACAGGAAGAAGTCAACAAGCTCACCAACATCTTGTTCAGCAGATGTTCAGTGGGAACCAAAGTGCACAAAATACGTTGGTACAACAACAGCGGCAACATCTAACTACGTCTTCCCCATGTCGAAAGGTGTTTTTATAATAAGGGTTTTAAAAGTTTTGGTCAGAAGATTTTATTGCTGGGTAAACTATCTGTTAGATTTTTTTCCAGAAACCTGTGTCAGATGACTATGTGAAATTTATACGACAAAAAGGAGTTTCGCAGAGCAGCATTTCAGATATTAAGATTCCAGTTCCTCAAGCTTATCTTTCGGATCCAGGTTCACATATTTACTGTAAAATAATTGAACTACACATTATAATTTTTGAAAAAAATTCTGAAAAAATGTGGGTTTTGCAAATTCATTAGGTGTGATCATAGCATAGTCATTTGTATTTCAGGTTTTGCACCGTGTAGTGAGGAGCAAATAATTCAGCAGTTCCACCAAAATCGTCGCTGTGATGATGATGTACGTAAAGCAATGGCATTCTTATCTAAAATGCTTGCTGAAAAGCGGGTATTTGGTACTAAGTTAATGGCGCAAACGACTGTTGCGGGTCCAAATCACTCAACATATAAAAATCTTCCTGAAGAGGGCATACATTATATCGCGTGTTGGTTTTAGCAACTTATTCTTTTTTCTTTCATTTTGTAAGCAGCTTGTTACAAATGCGTTAATCTTTTTGGAGCACGAAAATTGTTACCTTATTTAATTCATTGTTCGAATAGACGGTTTTTAAGAATAAAGTCCATTTCTTGAGATTGTTCTTGTAGATGTGTGTCGTAAGGTCATGATGCATCGAATTCCAAATGAAGATGAATTTTGGGAAGTGTTTCGCGATGTAACTCGGAAGTTAGCTGCTCGTTGTCGACGCGTGCGGCATTCTAAAAAGACAAGAAATGAGGAACGTGATGCAAAGCGTCTTCGTGAAAGCAGTACTGTGGATCATCGTCACCATCATTTACAGCTTGGTGCCTCAGCTACACCTGCGACCAATGACGCTCTGAAAGGCACTACTCCAATGCTCTCTTCTCTGAAAGGTACCGGGAAAGACGCTTTCAGTACAGCACTGGAGCATCATTTACAAGTTAATGAGGAACATCTAAAAAGTATTCAAGGAACTGCATTACAAACGCCATTCAAACCTGACGCAAGTGTTGCTTAATTTCACTTCCTTTCATTTTGGTTTAGGGCAAATACAATTCAATGTATCAATTTTTTTCTGTCGTCTTTGAGAAACTTTTCCAGTTTTCAGGTTTTAATAGAAAATTTTTTTATAAGGTTGGTACAAACGGAAGTAGTTTTTAATTGAAGCTGATGCAGAATCACAATTTTGCTATATTTTGCCTTGAAATTCAGTCGTGAAAACACTTCATTGAGATGTAAACGTTTAAATGAGGTTAGACTTCATTTTTTTTGTCAATACTGGCTGTGATTCTGCATTTGACAAAGTTGCTAAGTAAGGCGTAGCTTTTTTTACGGTGATGTTTGCTAATAATAGTAATCGTTGATTTGTGCTGTTTTGATGTTCGTCACGTTTTTTGTTTTCTTCAGGGATTTTTTTCAGTCAGGTTGCGATTTTTTATCCTAGTTTCATCTCAGGTTCTTTACTTTATTTCAGGTACTTAATCAGGTTCATTTTTATATTTTCTTTTTTGTCATTGTTGTCCGTAGAAAACACTTCTTTTGCAGAAGATTGTATATTTCATTCATTTTTTTTTAATTTGATGATTTCCTCATATATCTAAAATGTAATACAGTTTATCTTGTTGTTCGGCTCTATAAATCCTATATATTCTACATCTGATGACCTTTCCTCCTATACTTTGTTGATTTTATACTCTTTTTATGACTGTATAATTTGCTTTTTCATATTTTCTGTAAGATCAAAATTGCTTAGTCAGTTGAATATGAATTGTAAACTTAATTTTCTAAATATTTACGTTTGGAAAATGCGTATTCCGTTTGATGGGAATGCCACCTCAAAGGTAGCTAAATATTTACCGCTTTAATTGTTATATAATCGTGATTGTTCATCGTAAGAAAAAGCAAATTATTTATGTGCGTATTATCTATAGTTGATTCAATACATTCACTAGAACTCTGGAATTTTTATTTCATTTTTTGTATTATAGGACTACCTCAGGTTCTGATTTTGTTTTACTTCTATTTTTCTACCTTTTTTTGATCAATGGTCTCTCTGCTTCGGGAAATTTTTTGTGGTTCATGTTGTTTAGGGCGGACTGATCCATGTTGGTAGTGAAGAGCAAATGCGTTTGGCATGAAATTTCATTTTGAACTTAAACTCATACGAATATCCAAGTAAAAGAATTTTTTGGGGAATAGTTATCTCTTTTCAACTTTTGGTTCGATGTTTTTTTGCTTGTATTGGTTTTTCCTTCACTTTTAATACACCTGTTTTCTTAGCTCTCAAGGATGCCGCAGTTCTCTCATTTTTTGTAAACTGTGGTGATCATTATGTGGCAATCTACTTTCGTGAGCATTTGTAATTTTTGTCAGAAGCGTCAGGGTCCCAGATTTGCTTGATTTTGGAACTCTGTAAAACAGTTTCGTTCCTTCTTTGGAGATTTTTGAAATATAAAATCGCGGATATTTTGTAGCTGTCTTTTCTATCATTACATTCTTGTGCGTTACTTGCCACCTTTTTCCTGCAATTTATCTCATTCCACGAAATCTTTTTATATCATAAATTCTATTTTCTGTGTAAGAATCGGCTCTTGTAAATGTTCATCCGTTTTGTGAGCCTAACAGAGATGCTCAGGATTGGAACTTTTGAATCATTATTGATTTTGCATGAAGAAAAGTTTGAATCGAGGGAAAAGGTGTACGGGTGAGTGATAAATTTCATTAGAACAATCACTAGTAAGTTGTAATTTTTGTGACTCATGGTTTAAAGTGTCGCGTCAAATGTTAGATTTTGTGTTAATTTTTCTGTGTAAAGTGCAGATATGTTGCGATATTCGGTGATTTTTCCATTTCATATCGTGTATCATCATGAAATATAGTTTTATGTTACATAAAAATTTCTTAATTTGTGTTCTTTGGATCACTTATCACTTATGGAAGTATACAGCAAAAATTTATGAGAACAGTTTTAGGTAGAAATTGGTACTGAAGGCTTCATGTAGGATAATGAAGTGAAGATATAACACGTTAAAGAAAATTCAAATCAAATAGGATACGACAAATATTGAAAATTGATATTAGAAGTATTGTGTGGTAGTCCGGATTGAAAGTTGCTTTTGAATTCATGGGAGGGGATTTCTTCTCAGTTGATGGCATTTTTTGGACGAATAAAGAAATTGCTTGCATTGTAGGAGTCGCATGTGTGATCAGTCCTGGTCTTCAAACTCGATGCAGATGTTTAGTTAGACCACAGTTCTTGAAGAGGAATTGAAGCTGGTTCGTCCAGATCTGGCACTTTAAGATCGCTCCCCGGAACTCTTAGGGGATTTAGTGGACCAGAAGGACCGGAAGAAGGGTATGCAGCATACTTGTTCTTTCTGTGTATAATAGTATTAGCAAACTGAATCGATTTGAGGCAGTTCTCATCGCATGCTGAATGCAGCTGTTTTGTGAAGGTGCCAGGCCGAAATTTGAAGACATCCGTTATGGGGAGGTCAGTACCTACACGTCGGAAAATGATTTTATCGACTGTTCAAGTCCATTAATTAGCTTGAGAATGGGTCACACCTATGGCGGATCTAATTTAGAGCCTATAAGGCAGGAGGGTATGTCTGCAAATCTAGTCCGAATTTGATTTGTTTAATTTAATGCCGATTTTTGGAAGATATGCTTTTTCAATCATGCTAGTAGGATGCTCATAAACATGCTTATTCAATATGAAATTTCTGTCTTTTTTATACGCAAAAAGGCTTCAACAAACGAGATCATTGGTAAAATTGAAGGAAATGTATTAACATGCTTCAAGATAAAAAGTTAAGGTAACAACACAGATGATTCTCAGAGGTTCAATAAAAACAACGAGAAATCAAGACTGAGTGTCGAATGTCCAGAGCCACATCAAAACTTAATAATATCACAAAATGATACCCAAAAGATACAAAAACAGAACACTGACATTATGAGTAAAGACAATGGTCGTAATAAGGCGTCTAATTCAAAATATCTGAATCCCAGTTAAAACATATACGTGCTTCTAATCACCAAAAAAATCAATTACATGACACAGAAATTACTTACTTACCTTATTTGAAGCTTTCACTTCGCTTTTACCAGAGATAAGAAAATAACACTAATTACTGACACGAAATATATTCAAAATCAAATATAGAAGTGACTAACGAGGGACATTTTTGCTTACCAGCGTACCAAATTGCGTGTAGATAGCATTAAGTAATCGTGACAGTAATTAGTGATTTATGTTGTGAAGAGAGTCTTACTTTTTTGACATTATGAAGATAGCACGACGACAATACTACATTCCGATCAAATGGGTTAAAACCTGAAATCACATTCTAAAACAGAACTACTACTACACCTCGAAAGAAAACAAGAAATTACTGTGACATACAGAAGAGTATATTAGTTATTCGGTGTATAGAATGAAGCCAATATTTCAAATAAGTCATATACCAAAAATAAAGAGAAAGATTTACAGATGAGGTATGCTTAAACAAAAGCTAAACACATTCTTGAAGTAAAATATCTTCGAATATAATTCAACAAAAAGATTCTTCACATTTACACTAAAAAATTACACAGCTTGTGCTCAACATAAAAACAATTTCGGAGTATTAAAACAGTAAAAAAAAAGGATAAAAAACTATATAAAAGAAAACGTAAGACAATTTTCAAATAAAAGATGCATGAAAGATAACACTGATCATCAGCATTTGGAATGAAAAGTGAACTATCTCAAGACAAAAATCCTTCGCTACAAGAATTAAAAAAAGGCATCTTTGTTGACAACACAAGCTCAAAAACATAATAATATATACTGTTCAGCTTATTACAAGATTGGACTAGATACACGAACTTTATAAAGTTTCAGATCCAAACATAGTTTTCGCCAGCTTTTTCCATCAAAAAAAACTTCAACATTGGTAGGTAACATTGGTATTTCCGCCTTAAAGTTTTTTTTCTTTTGTTGCGAAAACACAAAAATATTAAGTGAATAGTGAAACATTACTAATTTTTTCGCTTCTTCTTCTTTTCCTTCCATTTTACAAGAATACATGCTTGATTGAAATACAGAAATACAGACAGTTACACATAAATAAATACAATATCAGTGGTGTAAATAAACAACATTTCCTGAGACTGTCAAAAAGGGAAATTCGTAAATTCTTATCGACCAACAGCACCAAAAGAACTGGAATGACTGTTACCAAAATGATGGATAACTGGTTGGATACGCTGATGGCCCGTTGGAATGATAGCATATTGTGCCATGATTGGTATATGATCTGAAGGTACATGGGGATGTGGAAAACCGATTATTTTATTTGTCTGCACCCATTCCATACTTAATGGCCCCAGTACTCCTAAACGAGCTAATGACTGTGGTGTTGAGAAGATGTAATCGATGACACCCCTAAATTCAAGCCTGAAATTAAAATTCTCGCATTTTTTCACTACTAAAAACTAGTATATTAAACGCTACAACAATGAATGATCAGAATTACTTTTTGAAAATATGCCACCAATATATTATGCAACACTGGATTGAACAAAAAATTTCAAGGCATTCTCGAACATCGACAATCTAATTACAGTTAAATCAGACAGTAAGTTTAAAACTTCAATTAGCATAAAACGAACGTATAATTTGTAAACGGCATGGAGTTTGGATCCACAGCGCAATCAAGACGAAGTCCATGAGTATAGACAGTCGGGTCATCAGTCGCACTAAAACGTGCAATACAATGGTCTTGACGAAAATCTTTCAAATCTGGATGTTCTTTTGAAATAGCTCCTTTTGAAAGAAACTCCACGACTCCTGAAGAACGGCTAATAAAAAAACAGAGGAATGCACGCTATGTTACAATTGCAGAGTAAATAAATAGATTTTAGCTTATTTTTGTCTGAAACGACTGCAGGTTAATCCTCATAAACCACTCATCCACAGAATACCTTAAAATTAAATCTAGATTAAACAACCTGATTCTGGAAGCGAATTGAAGTCACCACAAATCAAGACGGGTATCTGTTGTGGTGATATACGGCATTTTTCTGCTATCTAAAATACATTTTTCTTTTTTCTCAAAAATAAGTTCACAAAACTTCGATGATACAAATCAACATTTCGAATCAGTAGATAAAAAATTATACTTCGTCAAGCAAAATATTGATCTCATGAACCAACATCATCGATTGGACTAGTTTGACGTCACAAAATTCCGGATCCCAGTGAATGTGTGCCGTGCTCACCACAAGTGGATTTCCAACTACATTGTCGTTTGGTGCCATAGTCATTTGTCCTACAAAGTTAAATAGCTTTCGATCAATCTGTGAATATAAAAGAAAAATATATGCATAGTGAAAGTAAAAAAGGAGAGATATTCCAATTTTGTCGAAAAAAATTCATATAAACAAGCTACTGCGAGTAAATGTAATAAAACAACAAGTAACATCTTCCCGTTTTTAAATCCCTAATTCTGAAAGCTCACAAAAAAAAATATCGCATACGCAAATTGAAGCACGACATACAGATGGGATCGCTTCATGGAAAGAAGTAAAACATTCTTGCAAGAAATGTTTGAAAAAAAAACAAGAATGGAAAAAACAAATAAACAAGCAAAATATGAACGAACGGTTAGCGTAAACGTTTTCCTTCACTCTGAAAACAGCACAGAGAGCAATGTTGTCCTTTGGCATGACACGATTCAACATCTTTTCACTTGTTGGAGCTTTTTTGATGGCTATTTGCGTAAACTCCACAAGATGTTCCTTTTCCAGCTCAAATCTGTACAAATAGAACGTGTAAAAAGTAGACATGAATTCAGAATTGCCAACAAATTTATCTCATAGGAAAACCATCCTACGTAAATAAATAAGCCCAAGAAACGGTACCAAACCTACTTGTCATACTTCCAGAAGATAGCACAACCATCAACAAACTTCCGTTCCTCTTCCCCCATTGTTTTAGCGCGCGACTTGGGTGAAAATATGCCCGCATAACCTATCTGCTCAAGCTCTGGTTGAAAAAGACAACGGAATTGCTCTGTTTCCACTTCCTGGATAAGACATTTCTTAGAATTGACAGTTAAAATGTGACGTAATCAGAACTTCAGTGAGAGCGAAAAAGACCCTAAAAAGGTTTGAAAAGATCATTTTTTAATCTGAACTTGTTCATATAACAAAATCTAAGCGTACTTGAAGTGTGATAATATCAGCTTCGTAATGTCGGATCTCTTTTAGAATCGAAGTTTTTCGATACGTCCAATTTAAAGCCCATGAAGGACAATAAGAATAGAGGTTACTTGTAGCATATTTATCACATAAAACATTATAGCAGAGCACCGTAAATGTTGCTGAAATTATAGTCAATTCTGCTCCAAAAGAAAACCAGGCTTTTCAATATGACTACAAGAAATCTAGAATGTAACTTAACAACGAAAAAATTATGAAAGAGCACAAAGACAATGAATTTAAAAATTTTTTATTGAATCTTAATCTGAAGCCGATTCAATACCGATTGGTCTTTCTGGATCCGCATGTCTTATCATGATCCACTGACGATCTGGAGGTAATGCCGTGTTAACTAAAATAAAATCGAAATGTTCATAAACAAAAAAATACATCTTTCATTACTTTACTTCACCCATTCAAGCGATACTGAAGTGAAATCCATACTACGAGAGAAGAGAAAATGATTTCAAAAACTTACTTGCCAAATGATCTAACAAAAAACGAAGCAGTTTTTGAGGCCCAGATTCATAGTATATTTTATTGATCTCGGGAGAAAGTGGATTTGCTCGAAGATCTCAAAAATTGCCATATTTTTTTTCTGCATTTTTTCGTGTTTCTTGCAATTATATATGCATGAAGTTTTATGAAGAAAAAATTTGATGAAATAGATGATAAATGGACCCAAAAATCAAGCCATATTATAACAAGCTACTACACAAAAATTAAGAGATGTATTTTCAATACCAGTACAGCCGCATAAATATGACCAATAGTGTTGAAAATACAAAATACAACATATTTACAGTGATTTTTTCAATATTTTTTGTAACCCCTAAACTATATAACAAATATGACTAACCAAGAGTTTGCAAACGAAAAAGCTTGCCCAACTCATAAGGCAGGACTCTTATTTGATTACTATTGAGGTAAAGGTGACATAAAGAGATCATATCGCCTAATTCGGCTGGCAGGCTACGTAGTTTATTATCAGACAAATCCAAGACTTTCAAATTCTCCAATTTTGAAATATCACCCGGAATTCTATAACTGAATCAACTTCAGCACTTAGATTAACAGACAGGCATGACTATTTTTTTATTGCTAAAAATTTTTTTTCTACTGCTCGATCAGTTAATCTACAGAAGGTTCAAAAATACCTTGTAAGATGATTTCCGTACAAGAAAAGTGCAGTAAGGCATCTCATTTCCCATAAAAATGGACTGAGATTCCGACCTGGAATTCAGTTCATAAATACTCAGCGATACTGCTATATATAATAAAAATGACTGACACAAAACTACCAATGAAATCAAGTCTACATTTTCTCATTAAAAAAATATACGTCTGCATTTTTTCATTAGCACTTAAATTTTTCTTCAATTGCAAATTAATGAATGATGAAAATGAACCTCGTATCTCTAGTTCAGTCCATCGAGGTTCTTTACCCTGCGCCAATTCTTCCTCCGTCATTATACGATGCACCCTGTACATACCATTTGGTAATTTTTTTTTACCATCGGTACTTTCTGATCTAGTTAACGGCAAGCCTGCTGATATATGATATTTTTCAAAACTGTGAACATCGCCATTAGACAAATTATGCTCACGATGAGGACCAGATATATATAACGGTGGGTCAGTGGTTTCTGAAATATCGCTTAGTTCCTAAAATTTTTAAATGTCTCTGAAAACTGAGCTAAAACTGGGAAACTTGAAAAAATGCAATCGAGAAAACTAATTCCACCCACACAATGGCAAGTACTGTTCATGTTACAGTGAAAAGAGATCGGATAAAAGAGCGTGACATATATTGCAATAAAACTTGACCTATTTTATAAATTATCCGAGCTTATGCTGCCATTTAAATATGATGCAGCTACACAATAATATTATGGTGTGCATTTTGGTAAAAACAGTTCAATATGAAAATGGAAAGTGACACAATAATATTATGGTGTACAAGTAAGCCAGGTTTTAGATAAAAAACAAATATATAAAAATACAGGATTCAGCGTAAAGCTATCCGAACTAAAGGCACTCAGCAAAGTGAGGAGAGAAAGTATAAGACAGTATTTTCTACTGTGTTCTCTTGAAGATTACGAAATTATTTCAGAATGTTATAATTTGGATAAGTATGATATGGACAACAATTATAAAAGAATGCTTGTTTGGATAAAAAAGTAGCTGATCTAAAAACACGTCAAACACAGCACAAGATATACGAGTGCAAGAAATTATGATGCAAATAGTTAAATTTAATTAGTTCAATAAAACTTTAGCTAGAAAAAAGATACTGGGAAGAAATAGTAACTGTCTGCTGTACATGATTATATAATTCCAGTTTTAACAGTTTTGTAGCCCAGCAAGCGGTCGAACCAACTACTCGCTTAGTCGCTAGTGTGAAGAAAATGATTAATTTACTTCTTCTACCCATCTAAAATAGGTGAAAATTTTGAATAGTGTGGATAAAGACCTTAATATCACAAGTATTATAATGAAATCTGATAGCAAAGCAATACTTTTTGCTTCCAGGGTCCATTTCGCTTACAATAAATTAGCACAAATCGATGAGTCGCAAATATATACAAAGATTTTCACAGCACATCAAAATTATAGAAAAAAAACTGTGCCTTTCTGAATTTCCTTTTGTTCGTCGCTATTTAATACAAGAGAGAGAGTTCACCTATTTGCTTTCAGTTTCATCGAAATATCCGTTATTGAAGTTTTCCGACTTGGAAAACTGCAGCAATTAACATTATGGAAGCGACTTGAATTGAACAGATGTTAAGAAACCAGAAACTGTTTAATATGGGATGGAAAAATTTTTAAGCTAATAGAAATAGGAACCAAAACCAAGTGGGTTAACAATACAGCATTACTTGAGATCATCCCTTCCAACTACAACAAACCATGATAGAGCAGAAGTGAGGCCGAAGCGAAGAAAATGAGCCTAATATCAAAATTAAACATTTCAAATATAATGTGGTGAACAGATGGAAGAAAATTTAAATCTTATATAGTTCCTTACCAATTATAACTATTAAAGCACTGATTTTTTTAACTTTTCCATTCTTCTACTTACGAAAAGAATATGAGTCACAGTTTAACAAATGTCATAAAATTGCATAAATGGATCCAAATACAAATCTATATTGAAATTCATCAAGGATGAAAATTGTGTGAGGAATGTAACGAATGTAATGTATACTGGCTAGTTATAATAACTCATTTCAGATGCACACTATAAGATAAATTTATTTTTGAAGGAGAAAATCAAATATAGAACTAGAATGTATTTTCAATGTTATCTCCTGCAAAGAAACAGAAAGTACTTTTAAAATAACCAAGGTTTCATATTTTTCTAACCACTAATAAATGAATTGCAGTTTACAGAAAAATTCAAGCTGTTAACTACATTTTTCCAAGTTCTCGAGCACTGAAGCAATGTGAAGTGACGGTGCACCAAGAACTTAATATGGAATACACATAGTACTGAGAGATTAAAGTTTTTCTGCAATTTAAGCATTATGTGACCGCCTGTAAAAATATTAGATGAGAACCAAAATGACAACATGATAACAATTAATATTTTACAAATATCTCTCGTACTATAACTTACGAACTAGTCAAACATTAAATCTTCATTTCGTTATCTTGAAACATTAAACGCCTCATCAAATGACAACTTTAAAAGTGATAAAAGAACTGAAATTTTTGAAAGATACTTTGTTTTTAAAAAAAATTAAAAATCCATGAACACTAAATTTACTACCGCAAAAAACTAATAAGGTTCAAATGCAGATCAGGATCCAAAATAACAAGCATAGAGATTTAAATAGCTAAATTTGCCAAAACAAGGTAATTTTGTGGCGATCAGATTATTGAAACAAGTGAAACCAAAACATATAAGCCTCTGCAAAATTTGATTGATAAATGAAAGTGCGTGTTCCTAAAACACATAATAGATATCTGAATAACTAAAATGACAAAACTAATAGAGGAATGCTGTATCATTAGATGATTTAACAGTTATGCATAACTTTAGTTTACTGTACTTACGTACTACGCAAAGCAATTGGAATCAAAGATGGCAATAAATCGAGATCACAACAAATCGTTATAGCAGATAGTGTATACTAAATCTGGATTACCAGATTAATCTACGAGAACAACAGAAATTGTAAAAAATTAGAATCTTCTCAAATCACCCAGTTAAAGTGTTTGGTGCATCTAACCAAAGAATGTGTTATAACCCATTTAATGAGCGTTCTAGGTTTTCTATCGTCAACTAGAAATAAAATCCAAACAGAAACATACTTGTACTAGTGGTTGTCATCCAATGTTCATAAATACTGAGTAATATCGGTATTTGGAAGTCTTCCAAATGTACTTTGCTGGTTCCGCCTTTTTTAGCTTTTTGATACTTCAGTGATGGTGCAAATATAAGCTTGATCGTCCTCAACGTTTGTTACAATCTACAAATAATTAGTTCACCAGTAAAGTGAGTGATATTCAAAGAAACATACTTTTTTTCACTTATCTAAGGGGAAAATTACTCACTGGTGAGTTTGAGTGATAATTGTCAATAACACAAATGGGACTAAATGCATCAAGATGATAATCAATGATTAGCAAACGAACAACAGGATGCAGTATGCAACGATTACTAAACTTGTAAACCATTAACAGAATTTTATCTAGGTGCGTTCCACGTTCGCATAGAATAATGCGATTTTTAATGCATCTCAATGTCATTTTACAAGTAATTAGCCTCATAACTTGCTCTTCACAATACATCAATCTCAGAATCATTCAGCTATCTACTGCCTTATTCCATTTCATTCAGTACAATACTTTACAGTCAATAAATAATTCTATATATCCATGACTACAGTTACATCGCAAATGCCAAACTTCCAACTTGTTCAGCAAATCCACTCCAAATTCTATTCTCGATTATTACATCTCCCATAATTTTGCATAAACATATCGGCTATCCGTAAAATGTTGTCGTCAGCATTTGCAGACCGAATGAAAAGTAGTGAAAATTGACAATTCAGCTGGACTTATTAAATTTAGGTATTTCTTGATCAGTTGTAGCTTAGATTTACTCGATTAGTATATATGTACAGATGGTTGCTAGAATGTAAAAACGTGAAGAATGTGAAAATAGTATAGCAGTATTTCGACAAATTGGATCATAAAAGGATGTGTTTTGTTCCCAAAGAGTGATATCGGTTTCTGACTCATCACTTAACTCTGTTTAATTTCAGTAAATTATACTACTTATGATTCGCAACCAACGAAATGCGTCTTATCAAGAATGCTAATTTTTTCATTATATATATATAATGTGAATAAAAATATATATCGTATGTAACGAACATAGGATGGAATTTTAATAGATTTTATGAACACTAAGCGAAGAAAAGCACTTGATTACAAATGTGTAATCATAACACTCATAACAAGCGATTTGTATAAAAGTGACCCAAGAAATGAATCCTGTGTGCACTGTAGAAATATATATCTATTTATATGATGCACACTTGGCTCTGTGAGTTGCCGAGCGGTTGAGCGGCAGACTAGTCAAATCATATCACAAAGCAGGAAATTGAAGATAAACGCAAAAAACCCTGCTTGTAATCATAAATGAAAACAGGTGCAATTGTTTAAAAAGCTCCGTGAAGAATATTGCAAAGCACTCGATTAGTGCACCGGGACCAGCAGAATCGTATACCCGGCGTATACAGCGAGAGCGCTGAAACACGAGAATCAAGAAAACAGGAGATTAATCACCGACCCGTTGCACACATAATTATATATTTATATATATAAAGTGTTCTCCTTCATTAAACGTTTATAAAAGTTCAATAAAATTGCATCGCAAGTTATTACTTACGAAATTATTTTCATGCTGCGTTCCATCGCACCATACTTTCTCATTCGGATATCGACTGCTGTCATCTTATCCTGACTGGTGATGCCAAAGGCACTTCTAGTCGCTTCTAATCATACAGGAAGATAAGCGGTCGATTAGTTGAATCGTAACCATTAAAGCTAGCTCATTAAATATATAGATATATATATAATGAGCATGAATTCCACACGTTTTGCCTGGAGGCATAACATTTAATTTTCCTAGCGCTGCATACTCTATATATTCTACGATGTAATGATCATAAGTTTCATAGCTGTACCATCAGTGTAGCACACATTGATATCGTCATCATACCAGTGCAAACCACATGTATGACATAATTTTGAATGAGATCATGCGTGACTGTTTGTGACTGTGTGGTCTGAACACTAAGTAGTGTGATGGAGGAGAGTTTATGGGGCCATATGAATGAGTGTAAATAATTCTGTGGCGACCATTAGATTATGTTTAGTGAAGTTCTTGTGAAATCACAAATAGGTATAGTATTTCAGATGCCAGGGCTTGCACGTTTGAAATATACTTGTTCTCAATATTTTACTGATTTCAGACCTCTTGCTCTCATCATTCTTTTTTAAATTGGAACTTGAAAAACATGCAAGGTCTTATAAACTATGAGCCACGTAATCAAATGTCGTGGCAACAGCAGTCTCAAGTTGATGATATGGTATCGTCTTTAAACGGCCGTAAGTATGTATTTTTAAGCATATGTGAATTTATTTCATTCCACTGCATTTGGAAGTTAAAAACCGATTTGCACTTGTCTTGTACCTCTTAATTTTGGTGTAATATAGTAGAAATTTCTTCTATATTTGTTTGTACGCACGAATTTCGGAGCATGATTACCAAATCAGTTGAGAAGCCATCATATCTCTGATTTTATTCTTTTGACAAGGTTTAATTCTCATTGCAATCTTCTTTAACTTTCTTTCAACTATTATGGTTGCTTTAACTTCTGTTATATATTGAATTTATACTTCTGTTATATATTGAATTAATTCATTATACAGCATCCAAAATACGTCACGCTTAACGAAAAAACAGTCTTCCGAAAGTGTTGTAACGAGTGAAGGTAATTTCTGGTTTGTAATCATTGATTTGGCTATTGGTATAGAGTTTAAAATTTGTCTGGATTTAGAATTCTTTACTTCTTGATTCCTTCATAGATGCAGTAGGTTTTTTGTTGTCTATATTTCAGGTTGCTCTCTTGAAAATGCCATAGATGTCAATAGTACAGATGTGCTTTCTCAGTTTCAGCAACATTCCGATTCTACCGCAAGCAATGTTTGTTAATATAATTTACAGCAGGCAGTTATATGCTTATGTTTGTACTGGTTTCTAAAATTTAGTCATAATTTTTTGACATAAAGTGTATCACTTAGTTTTACTAGAAAAGAAGTCATGCTTGATGCAGGGAAGTCAATTTTCATATGTATAGAGCGTGCATTTTTTAAATCAAATGTGATGAATTAAAAAGTTGTTTTACATTCTGTTTTTGTTATTTGGAGAGCCATCTTCATCATTTAGGGAAGCACCCACTCGTTATGTCGCGACTCAAATACACCTGGTTCAACTTTTACGGCTTCGTGCAGCTACATGCATCGCCAAACGAACAGTATTGAACGTTATTCAGCAAACATGAATAATTCTGTCTCCAGTCCTCAGATGTTCCCAAGTTTTTCAGCCACATCTTTTATACCTATGACTGCACCTCTCCATTCTGGTCCTGTTGGAACAATTCCTCCACCACTATCTTCGGCCCCTAATCCTTCAGTCTCAGATATTACTTCAAATCTAAAACCTACTTCTGCGCATCAGCTACTTACACCTTTCACTCCACCTATAACAAACGATTTGTATAAAAGTGACCCAAGAAACGAAACCAGCGTGCACCATAGTTATCAGGTACTCAACAAAAGCGCACCCTCATCGCAAACGCAGTGTCATTATCAAATGAACGGAAATGGTCCTAGTGGGTTGTGTAACTTGCAACACGATTTTTCTCGAATGGTGATTCTTGTCTGTAAACTCTAAAAGTATTAATTTAGGACACTCAAAATATTATTTAAAATACCCCTCTGCAAATACCTTCTTATTAATTATTGTCCCAATCTTGAAAGCTCTCCTTCATATAACGTTTCGAATGTCTTCGCTTCTGATATAGAAGATACAAATCTAATTTATTTAAATTTACATATGGTATTTACTTCTCATCTAAACCGAAATTAATCATGGCCATCATTAAACAGATTTTTTAGACGTCAAAAAGCTTGTTGATCTGTTAATAAATACAGATTAATTGTAATATAAAGTAAAATGTTATTAATTGGTAGCATGTTCGCCAAATCAACTTTAACCAGACACATGGTTAGTTGAGAAGGTGGCTTAGAGTACTTCACTTTCATGAAGTTTGTTCTCACATATTTATATGCACAAATTGTAGAATTTCGCAGTGCAGTCGACTAGGTTCATCGATTTGGTGCTTGAAAGGAATTTAATGAAGTATGAGAATGAAGATGAGAAGATTACTCTTCCACCAACAGTTTGCAATCCTGGTGCTCGCTGCAATTCGAGGTGTAGTTTTAGTATAGTTTGAAGAGGGGTTTTAGTGCATGCAGATTTGACATTTTGTGGATAGATGTTCCAAACAATGAAAATGCCTTTGTTATCTTGATAATGGAAGAGAACACCGACATCTCCGTATCTATATGTAAAGAATTTCCAGATGATGATTTACCGGTTTGCTTAGCAGTTTGGTCTTAGGTGGTCAACATGTTGAAATGATTCCTCGATTTGTTTCAAGCCTCTCGGACCTCGACTCTGTGTGGTTATCGTCACTTCATATGATGAAGAATTCAAATTATAAGGAAACCATGTTATTGATATATTTTTCAGCATATTTCGTTGCACTTTAAACTCAGTACCTCAAACTCCGGAGCTGTTGAAGAAGTCACGTTTACCATTTGGACTTACATTACAGCCATTTAGAGACATGAAGGTTCATCTTTTATTTTGTGATTGTGAAGAGATTTATTTTACAAGTAAAAGAAATAAATTTAGTAGTGAGCAAATTTGCTTATTATTAACAAAGAATTGAATGTGGAAATTTCATTTGAGGTACTTTTTTTACTTTTCTGAAGTTCCGAATTAAATATCACATTTTAATTCATTCTTCTTACGAGTTTTTTTTTTAAATTCAATATGAGTGTTACAATTTCATTAATGTGAGTGATGTAATGGTAGCTCTCATATTAGAACTTCATTGAACTGTTACCGGTATCTGTTATAAAATAGACATAATATCATTTCTGTAATAATTTTAGAGTTTAAATATCATTCAAACATCAACTATTGTACGCTGTCGTTATTGTCGTGCTTACATTAATCCTTATGTCTGTTTACCAGATACTCGTCACTGGAAGTGCAATATTTGTTATCGTGTTAATGATTGTAAGTTCTTAGTTGTTACACTACGGAATCAAGAAGCAAAAGAAGACGTTGATTATTTTATTGTCATTGATCAATATTAAGGCTAGTCACATCATTTCAGTACCTGATGATTTCAACTGGGATCCTGCAACAAAGTCTTTCGGCGAACCGACTCGTCGTCCAGAAATACGGAATGCAACTGTAGAATTTATTGCTCCTTCGGAATATACGGTAGTTCAGCGTTTCCCAAATTACTGTCTCTTTTTATTTTTGTCTTACTTTTGGCTTTTATTTTGTATTAGGGACATGCTTTGAGTCTTTTTGAAACTTGAAATTAGCTGTAACGTAATTGTAGTTGCGCCCGCCACAACCAGCTGTTTACGTATTTATAATGGACGTCAGTCAGAATGCAATCGAAACAGGTTATCCATTTCCATAATCTCCCTGCACTATTTCACCTCTTCGTTTCGTTGTCGTTGTTGGGTCATAAATAAACTCTTGCTGAGTCATATAAATTGATCAGTCCTAGTTGCATTTTTAGCTCAAATTAACCATGAGTTATTCATAGATGATTTTGATCCTACTTATTGCACTTTTTAAAAGTTTTTAGTCAATTTAATAACCTAAAAATCATAATTTGAATACAGGCTATCTTTATACATTTACCGAACAACTTTTGATTGCTCTGGAGCAGTTACCTGGTGATGATCGTACTATGCTTTGTTTTATTGGTGTGGATTCAGCTATTCACTTTTTTCAGTTTTATGGAGAATCATTTCCTCATCATCTTATTGTTGACGATTATGCTGGTTAGTAATTTTGAAGCGATACTAATTTTGTTAGAAACGTTGTTAAGAGAAAATAGTGAAAGCAAATAAAAAGTCATCGGTATCACGATATTTATGCTGCCACTTACAATTTCAAAAATTTATTAAAACTCTTCATGTTGTCATTAACTCTCTACCAAATTCTGTTTATCGCTTTTCTGTAAATAAACTTTTGTTGGTATAATTCTTCCGTCTTATCATGCCGAATTAACTCTCAAACTTCATTATTTAATGTATATTTTCCATATTATATTTTTTAGATATTTTTCTCCCGGTCAGCTGCGGTCTATTGGTTAACCTCAGGCAAAATCTTGATGTAAGCTTTGTTATTTAAATTTCAAGTGTATTTCCTAATTAGATCAATGCATTTTCTTTTAAGTCATTGTAAATTGTAGGTAGTGCGATCTTTTGTGCAAAGCTTACCAACACTCTATGAATCAAATTCTTCAACCTCGTGTTGCTTGGGGGCGGCACTGAATGCTGCACATGAATTGATTGTCAGCTTAGTTTCATTCTTTTGAGTTCAAAAGACATTCTAGTTTCTTCAGTCTGTCATTAAAAAATAGTTTTGAATTTTCAAGAACTCTCTCGTTTTACAATATTTTAATCCACTTTTTTGATTTCAGGCTGATATTGGTGGGAGGATCACTGTGTTTTTAACAAGAATTCCTGATTTGGGACAAGGTGCTCTGAAAAGTCGAGAAGATCCAAATCAACGAGCTGCTTCTGTTTGTATTTGCTAACAGTTGTAGCATGAATGTTAGCTTTATCCAAATCTCCACATTGTTTTATTCTTTGAAACTTTTTAGTTGCAGGAAGTACCAAATTTATGCCCAGCAAATGATTATTATAAACGTTTGGCTCTTGAATGTACTGGGCATCAAATTGGTGTTGATTTGTTCTTGTTAAGTAGTCACTATGCTGATTTGTCTACTTTAGGTAAGTTTTTGTTGTTTTTTGTACAGAATACTTGTGACTCTCGGTAAATTGTTGTTCAGGATGCTTTTAATGCTTATTTTCAAGTGTAATAGTTTTGATATCTCTCTTATTTTTTGAAAACATTTTTGAGCTTCAGGAGAAAATATTCACGCTCTTTAATATAAAAGTCTGTATGTTATGAGAAATTAAAAATTTTAATTTTAATTATGCATAATCTGACAAACTGGGAAAGTTTTTGTGCAGTTAGGGCTTTTGTCCTCTCTGTATCGCATATTTTTTCAGCTGACGTATCTAAGTTTAGCTCGGGATGCATCTATTATTTTCCAAATTATCATATAAATCGTAATCCTGTAGAAGTTAAGCGATTTCAAAAGCAGTTTAATCGTTATTTGATTCGCAAAATTGGATTTGAAGCAGTTTTGAGGATTCGGTGTACGAAAGGTTCATTATATGAAGAATTATTTTTCGCTTTTCTAGAACTTCGTTTTTTCAATTGTCAAAACTTGTAGGATTATCCCTGCACACTTTCTACGGAAATTTCTTCGTTCGTTCCACTGATTTATTAGCAGTTGCTAATGTAAGTCCCGACTCTGCTATTGGTGTGCAAGTGCAAATGGAAGAAAATCTTGTCGGTGTGAATACGGTGTGTTTTCAAGCTGCCGTTTTGTACACTTCCAGTAAAGGTAAAAGTTTTTGAAGATAATATGAATTTTTTGATTAACGAGGTATTTGACTTAGTGTACTCTTTGTGGTAAGTAGTTCGCGTGTAACTTGAAGTTAGAAATTTCTCGCAAGTGTGATCCGTGGAGTATTTTAGATTTTCCTTGAGGGGTTCTTTCTTCTTACATAACTCATTATCATAGTTTTTAGGTGATCGTCGAATACGAATTCATACACTTTCGTTGCCGCTGACCAAAGACTTGTCCACGCTTTTCAACCATTTTGATGTTAGATGTGCAATATCTCTTGTGTCAAGGATGGGTAAGAATTTTTCAATTTAATTGAAGTCATAACTAACTGCTTTCATTGATAAGTAAAAATTTTGTTTAATGTTTAGCAGTAGAACGCACCCTTACGGGTTCAAGTTTGGCAGATTCTCGTGAGGCAATGGTAAATGCTGTTGTTGATATATTTTGTGCGTATAATTATTCAATTTCTCAAGGGAACCACATTAATTCAGTGTTTTCTCCAACTACTTCTATACGCTTCTTTCCACTTTATGTATTGGGAATGCTCAAGCATGTCAGTTTTTTTGTATGTTGCTAGTTTTATTGATAAGAAGTAATCATTGTGGTATTTAATGTCTTATTTTAAATAGATGTCGAGCAGTTTTAAAAATAACACTGTTATTCGAATTTTCTTCAAATTAGCTACTTCCATTCGCTATGATGTAAGGATATATTTATTAGGTTCGTAGAAGTTTTTTAAACGCATTATAACCAAGTTCTGAATAAGCTGTTATCTACCATATTGATAGTTGTATTTTTTTAAATCTTTTAGCGAGCTTTCACTGCTGGACAGTCTGTGAAGCTAGACAATCGAGTGGCTGCTCTTCTTCTTTTTCGCAGTGCACCTTTGGAAGTAATCGATTTAGAGCTGTATCCTGCCTTATATGAGCTGAATCATTTTATTGAGGTACTGATTAAAAGCTTTAGTATGGTTGTGATGATTGTGATTTTCAGATTAATCTGTGAAGGATTTAACCACAGTAAACCAAAAATTTGTTTGATAAGAGTAAACCGTTTTAAAAGAAGTTTTCTTTAAAGCAGTACTAGATTATTTCATTTACCATTATGTGCTTATTTCCTGAAAAATGAACGATAAAAAATCCATGTATAGGTTTTTTGTTGGTCTTTTTTTTTAAAATTATTTTTTGTATAGAATGAGACTGACCCGCCAAGATTACATCTTTCTTTCGCAAATGTTAACCGAAACGGTGTTTATTTATTGGATACTGGCTCGTATGTTTACGTATATATATCGTTCAGCGTGGAATCTAATATCATAAAGTGTCTGTTTGATGTAGATGCTTTTGCAGAAATTGATGAGGAGGTAAGCTAATATGATGCAACATGCAGTTTGAAAATTTTCAACAATACTTAAGATGGTTTCTCTCAGACTTTATTTGTTGTTTTCACTTTAGAAATTGCAAATGTTGTTCAATAAAGCTTGTCCTCCACTTTTTTTGAGCAGACATAGTTTTCTACTATAACAGCTGATTAAAATTCTAAATTATACGTGCTTTATTATATTCATTACAGTGCTTCACCCAGAAAGTTGCAAATTTGTGTTCAGATTTCTATCGTTTGTTATCATAATTAGTTCTTTAATTTACAGAAGTCATTTGAAGTTCTCGACAATCCATTCAGCGACAGAGTGCATAGTTTCTTGCGAAAGCTTTCCATTTATCGAACTGTGTTTGCTCCAGTGATAATTATCCGGTAAAATTTAAGAATTTTCATTACATCTCAGTCATATTTCTTTGTTCTTCGAAAAATTTTAATGATCGGTAAAACGTTTTTTTTAAATGTTGTTACGAGATTCTATCGTAATGATAGTGTTAATAATACTTTTAGAGAAGATAGCTCTTTACGGGACTTATTTTGTCAACGTTTAATTGAGGATCGTACGGAATCATCCCACAGTTATTCGGAATTTCTGAATCATATCCAACTAGAAATGCAGAAATACTAATTCACGAAAATGTGTCCCATGTTTATAATTTGTTTCCTTTTACTGCTATAAACTTCGGGATTTTTTTGAAATATTTAATTAGGTTAAAATTATAAGCTTAGTATAATTGTTTCTGTTTAAATTATAGCATTTGTTTATGTCGGAGTATTTAATTAAGTATTCCAAAAAGTAAATTTGTACATTTTTAATTTTCTCAGAAGCTGGGACACTTTGTATTGTGATTCATGTTTTCTGATTACTTTACTGAACTGTTCACGTTCTTAGAGTCACTGGTTATCTTATGCTTCTAATTCAGTGAATAGTTTTTGATCATGGCGATCCTAATTTTTAGTGCTGGTTTCTATTTAAATTTTCTCTTGCAGCTACATCAATTTTTCAATGACAAAATTACTTGAGCTTCTCAAAAACTTATTGGCTAACAAATACATAAATTACATGTGTCAACTTTTACTTAGGAAAAAAAATGGTCGGCAGCAATTATTTTTCTTTTTGGTGGTATAGAAATAATCGGAAAGTCATTCTAACCTATGTCAAACACATTATCAAACTGATGATTACGTCGTTTTTAGTCTTCGGTTTGACTGTAAAAAATAGCCTCAGGTTTTTAAGTGATGATAGGGAGATTTATCAAGGTTGTTGCATTCTTTGTCTTTGGATAGTTGGTGCCTAAATAGTGAAATAGTTTTGTTTTTTACACTTGTTGGACAAATGTTCTTATTGCTAAGAGTTGTTTGTGTTTTGGACTTAGTCTCACAGTTGTAGAGACATTTCGTTATA